GTGAGTGTGTGAGTGTGTGTGTGTGTGTGTGTGTGAGTGTGTGTGTGTGAGTGTGTGTTGACACTGTCACAGACTCAATTGTCAGGTCGAGTCTCCGTCTCTCCTCCATCAGACCAACAGACCTCTTCAGCGCAGACATTCACATCAAAGACAGACAGACTATAAAATCTGAAATGCTTTTTATTGAAAGATTACAAACTGAATGCATAGGAATTGGAGTATGCACTCAAATAATAAAATACTGCAAAATGCAATTTTGATATGCAAACCTCTGACCTCATTATAACTTTAATAAACAACACTTGAGAAGAGATCATGAGATATCGCTTATGGGATAGCATTTCAAATTATTTTCATGATTTAAAGATGATCTAAGAGTGAAATTATTCCTATTTATTTAAAAAATGCATGCAGTTAGAAACAGACTGCAATATACTATACATTGTAGGTAGAGTTAATAACAGCACTGGAGTGATAGTAGTGCAGAAGACATGCTGGAGCCATCAAACAAGTCGCTTTGAATGTAAAATCGGTCATAATATAAGCATGATGTAGGAGAATATTTCCCAGCAGCAGGGTGCAGTGCTGTTATTTGAGGTGCTGTATTGTGCATCACCAGCAGAGGGCAGTGTAGAATTATCTTGCTGTATTCAGACTCAAAGTGGAGGTTTAAAGAGCTGGACTGCAAAGCGACCTCACTCATGGCAGGAGCCATATTGAACTGCAAATCTCATTTTCACAACTTTACAAACTATTATCCCTCACAGGCTCGTTTTCATTCCTTTCACAAATCAATAAATAGACACGGCGTATTAGCCTAATAATTCCAATGCAATAAAAGAAGGGCTTTTTCACAATAGCTCTTTCATTATATGGCACTATGTTCTTGGTGCTTATGGCTAATGATAATCACTACCTCCTTCCCAAATCCCTACAGTAACCTTTACACACTTTTAGATTTTAATGAAGATGTTATTAAGCCGTCTTCCTCCCAAAGGTTCCCACAGTGTAGGTGATTTCAGCTTTTAATTCAGTCATGTTCAAATCAAGTGAACTGATGCTATAATATGAGCAGGTTTTTGGACATACAGCAGTCCCAGATGTAAATGCATGAAAATCTGTCTTCTAAAAATCTAAAACCCAAACAACTACTGGCTAGCACTAAAATGTTCCATGTTATACCAATGCACTCTTCAGTACGCGTGTGTGCAGCAAAGCAGTGCAGTGTTCGGTCTTGACCTTTTGTACAGGTGAGTTAGGGTTAGGTTAAAACCGCTCATTTCTGAAGCTGCCGTCTCTCCGGAGGTCGCTCGTGCGCATGCGCAGTCTCCGCCTGCAGCTCGGTCCGTGGCGGCTGCTGCTGCTGTCTCTGTCCGCCGCTCCGAGAAGCTCCGTGTTTTTCCGCCGCGTTCTCGCCCGTCTATGCGTCCGAATCCGCCCGCGCTGCTCGGTCCGTGCTCCCGGTAAAAGGCTCGTCTCACCACGGCTCCGGGCGTTATGCGCTCAAATGCGGCCTACACGCTGAAGCTGTCCTCTTCCTCCTCCTCCTCCTCCTCCTCCTCCTCCCATGCATGAATCTCACCGTGATGGCTGATGATCAACAACAACAGCCCGGTGCTCCCGGAGCGTCCCTGCAGAGCCCCGAAGCGACGGCGCTGCAGTACAACAAGATCAAGAACTCCATTTGGTAAGAGATCCGATCTCAAAAACACCCCAGCACATCTCTGCGCTCAGAGAGAGAGAGAGAGAGAGAGAGAGAGAGAGACGCGTTTACTTGCTGCTTCTATTGCATGTGATGTTTGAGTGTTTGCATTAGGATGTCTGATGCCAAATGGACGGCAGGCCTACATGTAGTTGCAATGCATATCTGCTTTCAGTGCATGTGATTATGGCTGGTTTATAATTGCATTCGATTGTCTGATTCCATTGCATGCTACAGCTGATTTCAAATGTCAGTGATTATATGATGTCATTGCATTGCTATTTCTACTTCAGTTACATTTGGATGTCTGATTATATTGCATGGATTTTCTGATGTCACTGCATGGGATGTCTGATTTCAGTGCATTGATTGGATGATTTCGTTGCATGGCATATCTGATTTGAGTGCATGTGATTATGGCTGGTTTATAATTGCATTCTGATTTCATTGCTTGGATCTGATGTCTGATTTAATTGCATGGTACAGCTGATTTCAAACGCAAGTGATATATATGATGTCATTGCATTGCTATTTCTACTTGATTTTGGATGTCTGATTTTATTGCATGGATTTTCTGATTTCAGTGCATGTCAAATCTGATTTCACTGCATGGGGATGTCTGATTTCATTCCATGGATTATGATTGTGTTGCATGGCATATTTCAGTGCATGTGATTATTATTCTATGTGCAAGTGATATATATGATGTCATTGCATTGCATTGCTATTTCTACTTCCATTGATTTTGGATGTCTGATTTTATTGCATGGATTTTCTGATTTCAGTGCATGTCAAATCTGATTTCACTGCATGGGGATGTCTGATTTCATTCCATGGATTATGATTGTGTTGCATGGCATATTTCAGTGCATGTGATTATTATTCTATGACTGCATTAGATTTTCTGATGTCACTGCATGGGATGTTTGATTTCAATGCATGTCAAATCTGATTTCAAATAATATCTGGTTTCAGTGCGTGGGGATGTCTGATTTCATTCCATGGCTTGTATGATTTCATTGCATGGCATATCTGATTTGAGTGCATGTGATTATGGTGTTTATGACTGCATTAGATTGTCTGATTTTATTGCATGGATTTTCTAATGTCACTGCATGTGATTATGTCTGATTTCTAATTTCATTTGCAATGGGATGTCTGATTTCATTGCTTGCATATGATATCTGATTTTCTTGCATGGATTTTTTTGATGTCACTGCTTGGGATGTAATTGCATAGGATGTCTGATTTCATTCTGTGGCATCCATGTAATGTATAATCTCAATGCATGTGATTATGTCTGATATTTAATTTCATTGCATTTGAATGTCTGATTTCAGTTGCAATGGATGCATGATTTTATTGCAGTTATCTCATTGATTTTCTGATGTCATTGAACGAGATGCATTTTAAATCAGATATGGCATGCAATTACATCAGAAAATCAACGAGATAAAATCAGACACCATCCCCACCCCATGCAACAGAATCAGACATCCAAACGCAATGAAATCAGACATCCCGTGTAGTGACATCAGAAAATCCATGCAATAAAATCAGACACCGTCCCTATGCAATAGAATCAGACATCATATCCGAACAATTAAAACAGATACCCCAATGCAATTATAAATCAGACATGCACTGAAATCAGATATACCATGCAATGACATCTGATATATCATGCAATGACTTCAGAAAATCAATTAGACAAAATCAAACAAAGTCCTTATGCAATAAAATCAGACGTCATATCCAAGCAATGAAATCATTCAACCCAATGCAATGAAATTGTAAATCAGGCGTAATCTCATGAACTGAAATCAGATATTGCTTGCATTTTAAATCAGATATGCCATGCAATGACAAGTAATATCTGATTTCAGTGCATGTGATAATGTCTGATTTATAATTGCATTGGGATGTCTGTTTTAATTGCTTGGATGTGATGTCTGATTCTGTTGCATGGGGACGGTGTCTGATTCTATTGCATGGATCTTCTGATGTCTTTGCAATGGCATTTCTGATTTCAGATGCAAGTAATATCTGATCTCAGTACAAAGTCTCTCTAATTTCATTGCATTTGGATGTCTGATTTTAGTTGCAATGGATGTATGATTTCATTGCATGGGGATGATGTCTAATCGCATTGCATGGATTATCTGATATCATTGCATGCAATGTCTGATTTCAGTTAAATGCGATGTCTGATTGATTTTGAAAGTCCACTTGTACCTCATTTCCCATAAAAATCAGACATGAAAATGATTTTAGATGATCTACATGCACTTAACATGTGATGTCCATAAAAGCTTAATTTCTCCAGAATCCACAAACCTGTTAAATGAATAGACCGCTGTCGTAGAACTCTACCTTTGACACTGTCATTAAGGATTAAAGAAGAGCCGGTGTTTTTCTTTCTTTCTACGAGTTCTTTTGTCTTAAACAAGCGCAACCAACTCCAAAAAATACCCTGCCTGTTATCAGGAACTCAACAGTCTTGTTTTGTTTTTTCTCATTGTGTTCATACTTGAAGCACAACCAGTCTAATAATCTGCTTTTCTTGTTTTACAGCAAATCAGTCCAATCAAAAGTGGAGAGTATATTGGTAAGTCTCTCATGCCATTAATTATAAACATTTAGGCAGTGTGCTTCCAGTTTTGTATTATCAGACAGGTAGTTTGGACTCTAGTTTGAGATTCTGCATTATAATGCAGATGTGTTCTATATTAATGCAGCAAGTTGCAATATAAACCTTAAACTGTAATCGTTGGTTGAGGATTTTAAATATTATTTATAAATGTAACTAGCCTATTTATGAATAATGAAGTCTTATCATATTGCAGTTGCCACTGTTTCTAAAATGAATTAGCATTTTTAGAGATAATATTGGGCAAGTATTACATTAATAATGTTGCTATAATTGTGTTATAAATATTTTTTAAATTAACATCCTTTTTAAAAAAGACTTTTCCTGTGAATATTTTAGATTTCAACTAAAGGTTTTACTATCATTTTTATTTGTACTACTGAATTTACAATAGCTTTTTCTGCTGATATGGCATTAAGTAATGAATAAATATTTTAAATATCAGTGTTACGCCGGCCTTTATCTATTTATCAGCATCAGCCACTGGTGAACCAGATAAACCAGCATCTGCTTCATTCATCACACTGGAAATGGAAGGTCAAGCTGAGCACATTGCATTGTGGGATGCAGTATTGTGTGTCAGGTGCTCTGGTTGTATAATGCACACTTATGCTGGTGTAGAAGATCATAGGAGTATTACATCTCCATAGGAGACATACTGCATGCTGCAGGAATAGTGTGAGTGTAGTACATTATTAAAAACATTGGACAAGACATTTAAAAATGCAGATTCAGCATTCAGTTTTTAAATGTTGAAAATGTGTTTATGAATTGTTTTGCATTTGTGAATGTGAATGAGGTCATTAGTTTGTGAGTCATATTTGGTGAATGTGTTCATTGTGAGATTATTCTGATCGTGTAAAGAATATGTTAGTGATATTCATTACTGTCTGACAGTGTGATTTATTTTTAGTTCCAGTGTGTGTGTGCGTGTGTGTGTGTGTGCGTGTGTGTGCGTGCGTGTGTGTGTGCGTGTGTGTGTGTGTCCTTATGCAATAAAATCAGACGTCATATCCAAGCAATGAAATCATTCAACCCAATGCAATGAAATTGTAAATCAGGCGTAATCTCATGAACTGAAATCAGATATTGCTTGCATTTTAAATCAGATATGCCATGCAATGACAAGTAATATCTGATTTCAGTGCATGTGATAATGTCTGATTTATAATTGCATTGGGATGTCTGTTTTAATTGCTTGGATGTGATGTCTGATTCTATTGCATGGGGACGGTGTCTGATTCTATTGCATGGATCTTCTGATGTCTTTGCAATGGCATTTCTGATTTCAGATGCAAGTAATATCTGATCTCAGTACAAAGTCTCTCTAATTTCATTGCATTTGGATGTATGATTTCATTGCATGGGGATGATGTCTAATCGCATTGCATGGATTATCTGTGTCTGATTTCAGTTAAATGCGATGTCTGATTGATTTTGAAAGTCCACTTGTACCTCATTTCCCATAAAAATCAGACATGAAAATGATTTTAGATGATCTACATGCACTTAACATGTGATGTCCATAAAAGCTTAATTTCTCCAGAATCCACAAACCTGTTAAATGAATAGACCGCTGTCGTAGAACTCTACCTTTGACACTGTCATTAAGGATTAAAGAAGAGCCGGTGTTTTTCTTTCTTTCTACGAGTTCTTTTGTCTTAAACAAGCGCAACCAACTCCAAAAAATACCCTGCCTGTTATCAGGAACTCAACAGTCTTGTTTTGTTTTTTCTCATTGTGTTCATACTTGAAGCACAACCAGTCTAATAATCTGCTTTTCTTGTTTTACAGCAAATCAGTCCAATCAAAAGTGGAGAGTATATTGGTAAGTCTCTCATGCCATTAATTATAAACATTTAGGCAGTGTGCTTCCAGTTTTGTATTATCAGACAGGTAGTTTGGACTCTAGTTTGAGATTCTGCATTATAATGCAGATGTGTTCTATATTAATGCAGCAAGTTGCAATATAAACCTTAAACTGTAATCGTTGGTTGAGGATTTTAAATATTATTTATAAATGTAACTAGCCTATTTATGAATGTGTGTGTGTGTGTGTGTCATCTAAAGGCCACTCACTTTCATCAAAACAGTGTTTTCTACAGCAGTTGTCATCATCAAATAATCCATAGTTATTAGTCAACAGGGAGTATCGTAGTGTCCTGCTACATTTTCCTTAGATGGAAGATGTGTTTGTCATAATTCTTCCTTTGCATGTTTGTAGAATTTTCAGTCCAAACTTGCTAATAAATTTCACAATCACAGCAACACATAGAATTAAATGTAAAATTTAGATTTAGAAAGACTGAAATAGTATTTTCTTGTCAAACGTACTCTGTTTTATTTACAACTTTGAAAAATCATGAGTGTTAACGCAAATTCTTTAATATATTTTTAGCAATTGTTTACTAACACGTTTTTAACATTTTAAAGTACTAACATCTTTTTTTTTTTTTTTTAAACAAAGAACTAACATGTTTTTAACATTAGAAGTACTAACACGTTTTTTTTACGTTTTAACAGAGTACTAACATTTTTGTAGTTCTGCTTTTGGACGTTCTGGGTGTTTCTAGTCAAATCAACGTATTTTCCGAGCGGATATTATAAAGTTAAACCTATGAAAATGGCTTTAAAAAGCACATTGCACCATAGTTTCTTCACTTTATAGTGTCAGAATAACCATGATGAGTGTGTAGATGACATGAGGCGGCTCGAGGGTGAAGTTCAGAGGATTTTGTTCATGAAATGATAAGAGCACACATTATTTTATTATCTTACACACAGTATTTTAACTTAGGTGCTGCAAGCCTTATGCATTATGCAAGTACTTTACAGGAAGTTTATTGCTGTGGCAGCCAACAACAGCACCACTCAACCATGCACACATTTTTATATTTAGTTACACTAAAAAGTTTCAGTTTAATTAATTCAGTCGATCTCATTACACCGCTTTAACATGGGTTTCTATGGAGACCGGAAGAACAGAATAAGAATAAGGCTGTTTGCTTTGGATGGAAGGATTTATAACCACTACCTGGTACATTTAGGAAATAACAGTGAATCGTCTTTTATTTTTTTATTGACTCTCATTGGCTGCCCAGCCTCACATCCATTCATGAGCGCCGGTTTCCCCTAGCAACAAAGAGGCAACTAGAATAGGACGAGGTGAGAGGAATTCACTCTCACCAGCCAATGGAAAGCGAGGTGGGCGGAGCCTGTGCTGGAACGACGTGTTGCCAGTGTGTCAGCATTGACATGCATGTTTACTGTCAGGGTTTACATGGCAACCGGCTAAGAGCAGGGCAGGATTGCAGGTTTGCTGTTGGTCGTATGCGCAGACACGCTCTGGTACTGTGCGCCTGGCCGACTCGAGGGGCTCTGGTTCTCCCCGTACAATACGGCAACCTTGCGGAAATGAATGCAGGTGAAAACAGTGATGTCATGGACTGCGGAGTCTTATGCAGGGGCCGAAAATCAAGGCCTTTAAGTGAATTTTAGTGTGTGATAATGGTGTGGGTGTTTGATATTGTGCATGACAATAATGTCATTTCTTTTATTTTTTTTGGAGAAAAAGTAGCAAAATCTAAATTCTGCTGCAGTGGAATCTCCACCACAACCAAATGTAAACTTTTATTGGAAAAACTCTTGTTCTCAAAAATATTGTCATTTTTAAAAAAATGAATACATTTTAGTGTAGTCACAGAATTTCACACTTTAATTACATTTAATGCCTCGGCATGACTGTTAACATGCTGTTTTTTTAATAGTAAAAAAGAATGTCAAACTTGTCTGAATTGCCATAATCCTTGTGTTGTTCATTTACACAGCAAGATGTTGAGAAGTTTACAGATATCGAAAAGCTCTACCTCTACCTTAAGTTGCCTTCTGGTCCCAGTGGTGGCAATGACAAAAGGTGCATATTATTTATTATCTACACTATTCCTTTCCATATCCCCCTCCTCTCTTTTTATGTTTTTTTGTGCTTTGCAATATCAAATACACTCATAGCATATACTGTATGTCTGTTTATGATTCACTCATATTTACATTCAGTGAAACATGCATATATGAAATGCATTTATGAAACAAAATCTAAACATTTGCAAGTATCATTTTTTGTAATATTGTTTCGTTTTGCATTTGTTGTCAGGTTTACATTGATTTATGAGTCATGAGCTAATCATTTCGCCAGTTATACAGATTTTGTGTAAATTATGACATTGCAATACCAAGCTTCCTGTGTTTTATCATTTGTTTCCCCTTATCTGTCCATCATGTCAACCCCTCTTTACCAACATGATGTCCAATAGAACTGAAAATCAGAGGGGCTCTGCAAGTCCTGCGATATGGTACTACAACTTTAACTATATTAAAGGGAAAATAATTTTGAAGTAGTTTGTAACATGATATATTATACAGGACCAACAAATGTACACACAGCCGTCTGGTGCTGCACCATCTCTGGTTTTAAGCCTTTCTTTTCCTCTGTTTTCCCCATAGCGACCAGAATTCCATGTCGTCCAGCCGGACTCAACAGATGTACGCCTTCAACTGGATCCGAAATCACTTGGAAGAGCACCCAGAAACCTCACTGCCAAAACAAGAGGTGTACGACGAATACAAGTGAGTGATTTGACACTGCAGTAATGGACAGAAGTTGTGTTTGCTTGTACTCATCTGATGCTATGTTTCAGGAGTTATTGCGACAATCTGGGTTACCATCCTTTAAGCGCAGCTGATTTTGGAAAGATCATGAAAAACGTTTTTCCGAACATGAAGGCACGCCGTTTGGGCATGAGGGGGAAATCAAAATATCCTTTTGTGTGGAAACATCTGAAATATTTTGAATTTGAGCTACCTGCGATACACCTAAAGCATGACAACATTTGCTTTTGAAGCATTTTGTGTGCATTGAGAATTGTTGTGAACCTTTACAATGCATTACGTACTGCTACAGTGGGCTGAGAAAAAAAGCATTTGTGCACGTGCCGTCACTCCCTAACCTGGACTTACACAAATCAGGAGACGGGGTCAGTATCCTGTTTCTGTCAAATCCAAAACAAGACATTCATATCATGCCCTAATTGCAACAGCATTGTGTTGGTTTTCAAATTAAGTTTGTACAAGTTTGATAAACCTCTTTTTGCTGGGCTTCTTTAGTGTGAGTTGTTGGACTCGACCGGACAGTCTCCCAGTGCTGAGGATGAGATGCGTTCTGCAGCTTGCGGTCTGGTCTGCGAATGGGCTCAGAAGGTTTTGAGTCGCCAGTTTGACAATGTGGACGAACTGGCACGCTTTCTTCTCAACAGTCACTATATAGGCACTAAGTCCATGGCAGCTCTTACTGTTATGACTGGAACCCCAACAGGCAAGACACAAAAATTACCTTGCATACAAATCTAGACGATGCATGATTAAACTCTTTGAAAATGTCAGTTGTAGCAGCTACTGGTTGCACCCTTCAGGAGTTTTACTTGTGTGGCATTCAAACTATGTTCGTTACTTGTATTTAACTGGAATCTCTTTGATAAAAACCAGGTATGAAAACCCCTACGCCTGCCTCTGCCTTTGTGCCAACCGGTGAAGCCAACTCATTCCAGCCCCAAGTGAAGACCCTCCCTTCGCCTTCTGTAGACGCCAAACAGCAGCTGCAGCGGAAGATTCAGAAGAAACAGCAGGAGCAGAAGCTCACCTCTCCTTTGCCCACTGATGCCCAGGCCAGAAGGGCAGAGGCGGGCACACCCGGCCCTGGATCCAGCCTGACCTCTGGAAGTCCTGCAATACTGTCCCCTCAACCAACCATAGGCATTGTGGTCACTGCTGTTCCAAGTCCTATCACAGTAAGGAGATTTTGGTTGATAGCAGGGTATGGATGATTCGACATTACTGAATGACAAATGATTTAGATTGTGCCTTTGTTTGCATCATTTTCAGGTTCAGAGAAACCGGCAACTAATGACCTCTCCAAGTCCTGTTGGGGCAGCAGAGGGAAAAGTTGTTCCTGTTAACTTCCAGGTCTTGACACAACCTGTTAAGCAGTCTCCAAAAACACCCCAAAATTTCCCTGCCAGCCCAGTCGGTGACAGGTTGGCCAGACACCGATATGCTCAGATTTTACCTAAACCCTCTGCTACAAGCGCCATTGCACTTCGATCGCCCCCAACACTCCTAATCACCAACAGCCCCATCAAGACGGTGATGCCCACGCCCCATGTTAGCTCTTTAAATGTGGTCAAGATGACTGCAATTTCGTTAGCGCCTAGCAGTAGCAGTAGTAGCAGTAGTACTCCTACCCCGTTGCGACCTGCTTCGGCAGGTTTCAGTAGCACAGCTTCCCTGGAAGAATCTTGCCAAATCCAGCAAGTGCAGAATGGGGCGTCGGTCATGTCTCTCCAGTCATCTGGGAAAGCTGGACGTCCCTCCACGACCCCAACTCCATCAGCATCCACTGTTACCAGTGAGATAAAAGTGACATTCGAAGCTGTGAATGACAGTAACTCAGCTACTGCTGTTTATAAACAAATCACTGCATCAGGGAACAGTACAGGACTTAAGAATGAAAGAGCCACTAAATTCAGGGCTTCCAGTGAACCCTCTTTTCTTATTAAGGCGTCCCCTGTGCCTGAGAGAGTGACAAGGGCCAAGAGTGACTCTACAACCCCTTCAAGTACAATCATGGGGGCTCTTGCCCCAAGCAGCAATAACAACAATGATCAACCAGAAAGTACTTTGTATTTAACTGTAACTAGCCAGAATGTAGATGCTGAATTGTCATCCATTTGTGCGATGGCAACTGCAAGCACTTCTTCAAAAGATGCTGGTCTCGGTCGAAAAAGCCCTCGAAAACGCTCTGCATCTGTTTTGGAAACCCATACAATCCCAGTTAAAAGAGTATTCATTTCCCAGCAACCTTTGGATGTTGGCTACAATGCCAAGCCTGGTATTGTAATAGCAGCTAAGAAGATTCAGATATCTGGCACTCCAGCAAGACCAGAGAGCGCTCCATGCAAAGTTACACTAAAACAGAGTAGCTCTCTTCCAACTCAAATCTTAGCTCTTTCTGACACTCCCATTGGAGCCCTGGGCACCTCCCAGATGGTTAATCCTCAATATGAAGTTGCTGATATTAGCCCCAGTGAAACTGCTTCTGCTAATAGCACAGCTTTACTGCAGCAAATCCCAAGTCACCAACAAATCAGCAGTGACATTTGTCAGCAGGTATCTACTGTAAGTGAACTCAAGAGTTCGCTGCAAGACCACTCGCAACAGATGCAAGCAGAACACAAGCAGATTGCCGCTAATCCATTATCGTTGATGGCCCAGGCAACTGAGACCACTAGTCAGCTCACTCTTCAGCAGGAAATTGTTGATTTTGCAGGAGCCCAAGCTAGTATAGACTATTTTCCCTTCAATGATGATGATATGACCCAGGACAGTATTGTAGAAGAGCTTGTACAGATGGAGGAACAGATGAAGCTGAATAGCAGCTTGCAATCCTACCTGAGCTGTGTTGATATATCCCTACAAGGTCAAGCCACGGTTGGTCAAGGAACAATCCTCTCGCCCCATCAGACAAGTACACAGTTCTATCATTCGTCCCACAGTAGCGCCACGCCAATCCACACGCCAACTCCGACGCCCACTCCAACACCAACACCTACACCAACTCCTACCTCCGAGATGCTACCAGGGGGGCACAGCTTGACCAGAGAAAGCCCTTGTTCTCGAATGGCACCTGTTACCCCAGTGGATAGCATCTTAGGCGGGCGCCATACACCCATCAGCACCCCACTGTCAAACTGCAGCAGCAGTGTTCCTCCAAGCCCCATCGAATGCCGCAATCCCTTTGCATTCACTCCAATAAACTCCAGTATAACTGGATATCATGATGGTAGCGTTGTGTCCAGCAGTCCAGTAAAACCCATGCAAAGGCCAATGGCCACCCACCCAGATAAAGCCAAGCTGGAGTGGATCAACAACAGGTACAACAGCACCGCAGGGTCTCCTGTTATATCCACCAATGCTACCATTGGTATCCTGCCCAGTTATCAGGATCTGGTCGAGGACCACTTCCGTAAACCACACGCTTTTGCCATCCCAGGTCAATCTCTCCAGTCTCAGTCAAGGCATCAGGACGGAAACTTGGGAAGGCTAACAACCATTTCTCCAGTGCAACAAGGACAGCAAACCACCCTTAGTAGCAAGCAAGAAAGTTTTGCCGTCCCAGCTCCGTTGGACAACAAAGGGGCAGGAAGCACATCTACATCTGGAGGTGGAACCTTCCGGTGTCGCAGCGTTAGCCCAGCAGTTCGCCAGCGTAACCTTAGTGGCACCACTGCACAAACAGTCACCACCCCACGGTCTGTTGTTTCTCCCTTTAATTGCCCCCTGACATTTGAGGTTCTGAACATTTTGTCCAACAACCAGTCTGGGGTCAGTGCCAGCAGCTTGGCCCAGAGGAGCCAATCAGTTCCACTAAACATCATGATGCAGTCTGAGCTGCTTCCCATCAGTCACCAGGGGCAGCAAAGCAATAGCGCTAAGATCACCACCGTGCTCCTTAGCAAGATGGACACGGATGGAGACGATGCAGTGCGAGGACTGGGTGTAAACAACCTGCCCGCCAATTACACGGCACGGATGAACTTAACCCAAATCCTGGAGACGACACAGGGCTTCCCCGGAGGCCCCAACTCTCAGAACCAGCAGCTGCCTCTGGACTCAAGCCCTTCACCTTTTGACTTCCAGAAGACGGGTTACCTCATAAGTGCGGGAGAGGAGCAAGTCACCTTCTGCAGTCGTGACAGTCAAGCACAATCGGGCTCTGGACTGCAACAACCAGAAGAGCAGCTTCAGCTCCAGGAACTGCAGTTGGAGTTGCAAGACCAACAGCTACCACTCCAGAATCAACAGCTGCAACTTCCAGATCAGCAGTTACAACTCCGAGACCAACAGCTGCAACTTCAAGACACACAGTTGCAACTCCAGGACCAACAGTTACAGTTGCCGGACCCACAACAGTTACAAGATGACCCAGATCTCACCCAGCACCACTTGTTGGCCCAAACCTCGCAGCAGGTTGTGGATCAGGTGCAGCAAGAGCAACTAGACTTCAACACTACTGTCAAGGATCTCTTGGGGGAGGACAGCCTCAACCCCAGTTCGCAACTCATCGGACAGGTGGCGTCAGAGCTCAGTGCTGTCGCCTCTGACTTTTCCAGCGATATCCGGTTGACTTCTGACCTTTCGAGTAGCATTAACGACCTAAACACTTTGGACCCCAACTTGCTGTTTGACCCGAGTCAGCAGCAGGACCAATTTGAAGACGCCACACTGGAAGAACTGAAGAACGATCCTCTGTTTCAGCAGATTTGCAGCGATACTGTGAATTCTGCTGGTTTTGATTGGCTGGAGAATAAAGACCAGCCAACCGTGGAAATGTTGGGATAATATTATTTCCTGTTCTTTTACTGTTGATGTTGCTGTCGTCTGTTGTCGTTTATATTTATGGTTTCTGTTCAGCGTTTGTTTTTTGTATTGCAACGTTTTGTGTATCCTTTACGTACAAAAATATTGAATGATGTGTCTGTGCAGCAAAAATCTGGACGCTTTGGACTGTCCAGTGTAAAGTGCCAGCCTGAGGTAAATCTCTTACAGGCATGTGCTTTATCTGAAATTTTTTTTTTACAATGGTTTTGTTTGTATTCCTGTTGTATGATTTCATAGATCATTCCAGTCATTTCTCCTCACTCAGAAGTAGGGCTGGGTATCGTTCAAAAAATGTAGATACCGATACCTTGACTTCGATACCGGTTCCTGAACGAGACTTTTTTTCGATACCACTTTTATTAAATCAGTTTTAACAAGATTACATCAACTTAAAAAAAAAACTTTTACACTAGTGCGTGTTCATTTTAAAACGCATAGCTCAGACAGAATCATGATTTCTCTGTATTTTCCACTGATTTACTGATGAGCATTAGCAGCTTCCAGCGCTTTCTGCTTGTGTTCTCTCTTCCATGATCGCTGCTCTGACTCAGAGGTAATAACATATTTAATTTCAGCTACATTACATGGCCAAAACACACATTAGACGGCAATCGGAAGTTATTGCAAACACTCGATTGGTGGTTTAAAGTGAGTTTTGAGAAAAAAGCGGAATATAAATCTTATTTATTGTCTTATGTAGCATGATGCTACAGTTTGCATGAATGGCCACATAACACACGCTTTCGGTCGTGTAACGTTAGTATGAACGGACATCTGCATATGATGGGAGCTCTACACAGCTCCCGCGCTACTCTCCATTGGAAATGAATGACTGAATGCCCGGTCTGTCGCTTGTCAGAGAGAGTGGAAAGCCGGCTTGAAACGCAGTGGAAACGCCAGTATGACGAGGATTGTTTTCATTTTAAAACATAAACACACCAGTGTAGATGTAGCCTTACATCTAAAGGGGCTGGGACGCATTCGCACTACAGCCTCACATGTGCGCCACATCTCCGAGTGTAACCGGTGTAAACTAGTAGGTGTGTTCGACTTGATACTTTTGCAGATATTTTCGATACTCGATTGTATCGAGGCAATTCGGTTGGTGCCTAAAAAGTATCGAACTCGATACCCAGCCCTACACAGAAGTCATTTATAGTCGGCAGTCAGATATTTCCTCTGGTTCCAGCTGGTAGTAAAGTACATTCAATATGATGAGACATCACCTGGTGCACAAGCATATCCCTCTTTCATACATTTCCTCCCACTAAAACCATGCAATATTCCAAGTAACGTTGACGTTGGGGAAGCTCCCTTTCTAGACAGTTGTCTAAGGATCCAGTAATGTGGCTTTTGCGAGTTTGGTAGGAGACCAAAAGAGTGCCCCTAAATACCGTAAGCACAGCAGAGGTGAAATATCACATCTACATATCGTAAATCGGTCAGTTCAGTGAACTGCAAAGATCTTAGGTGCTACTTGGTGCTGACTTAAAGAATCGCATTTACCGTACCTTTCATCAGCCATCATTTGTTTTGTCAAAGTGATTTTACACGTTTTTGGGGGAAAAGGTTTTAAGGCCATTAATACCTGTACTGTTAAATCCAAACTGTTGGGGAGGGATGAGATTTTTGGTTTGTTTGTGTTTTTCCCGAAAAAATGGGAAGATAAGACTCGTCTGCCTTATTTCCAGAGTCTACGGCCTTATCCCATCTGATTAAAGGCTTCTGAGTTCAAGAATTACTTGAACATATTTGGTGCACATTAGCAGTTCTCCATCTTCAGATGGTTGCTAACCATTTTGAAGGCTTTGTTAGCACATCATTTCAAACTGGTAGTGACGATGGTATGGTGATGGCTAGATATTCTTACCAACTCGAGATCAACAGGCAAACCTGTGTAGTTTCTCCAGCCTTAACTCCATACCAAAGAGAAGCTGTGGAAGAACAAGAGATTGCGATCCGTTGCGGTTTCCATCTTCAATTGCCCGTCATCTAAAAGGGATCTTGGCCGTTTTTGTTTGGTCTTACAGTAAGTGAATTAGCATTTGTGTAAATTGTGTATATGGCGGATGTATGGATGGGGAGCATGTTGTACAAGTTCACGAAGGCTAAGGTTCTAGGCTAGTAGTGCAACATTTGTAAAAAGGACATAGTTGTCATCATGAGATTTCCATTTTATCAAGACGCTAATGGTAGGTAGATTCGAGTGCCCTTAAGAAGAAAACGCTGATCATAACGAGTCCATAGCCAGCACAATATTTCGCTTGTTACGTTTCTGGCTTCCTGTGATGTGCTAGTAAACGTTGGGTCTGTAGCTTGCTAATATACAATTTTTCTTAGGAGTTTATTGGTTCCTGCGTACGCAGATGTGATGTGCAAATGAAGAGAGGATATTGTAGCATGGATTTATCGAGAAAAAAAAAAGAAATTAGATATATAGACTTAATTTTATCGTGATATAGCTAAATTTTGTGTGCAGAGACGAATCAAAGGAGCAGACACTGGAAATGGTTTGAAAACGTTAATCTTATTGCACTAGAAGTTGGGTTTCTTTTTCTGTCAACAAACAACAATTGGTGCCCGCGTTGTTTTTCTTCTAATAAATCGGGGAATTACGCACTCGTGCTCGAAAACAACAATGAATAATTGCCTTGTGTAGCAATGAGCTCTAATCTCAATGAGATCCGCGTTGTACAACTTCTCGTACCTGAGAAGAAATTACGAGATTTAAAAATTAGTGCATTAAAAAAAAAAAAGCCAACATGCTTTACCATGTTATAAAATGACTGTGTGCGCATGTATGTTAAACTAGCTATGGTAGTATTTGTTGTGACCACTCCTTTAGCCAATCAAAACGGGACGAGAGGGGACAAAAGTAGTTCTTCAGAAGCTATATGCATTTTACGATGTTTGCGAAGTTAAAATAAGTCTGTTTCTGTTCATGAACATTGTACTTGTTTTTCGTTTTCTTTTTTTATATATATAAAAATGCCTATGTGAAGGAAGCTGTAAATATTTTTTTATGTTCTGGCGTTTATTAAGGCACTGATTAATTACCGTTTTTTTTATTTTACCCGTAAGACTCCAGTCCTCTTTTGATACACAGGGTTTGACGCCGCAGATGTCGTTCGTCAGGTCGGTCTTGTAGAAAAACATGTTCATTCTGTCTGTAGATTTGAGCCTCTGATGTGCTGGTTTATCTGCTCTGTGGACCGTAGCTTGTTAATATTGCAGAAGCGTTTCAGCGATGTTTTGTTCTTTTCTCCTCTTTTTTTTTTTTTTTTTTCCAATGGAAAGTACTCACAGGTGAGATTTTTTAAGTGGTTTTAAAAGCCAATAAACATTTTTTTAAACAACAACTGTGTTGTCCTGAAGTGTGTCCAGTTTGAGCGTAACTGCGCCCTCTGTTGGTTCACATTGACACTGCAGCACACAAAAAAACAAAGGTCATGAGGTCATGTGCGATTGCAATGCATGCTGGGATCTCACAAACCCTTAACAAATCAATAATACAAATCTATAAAATTTCACACACATACTCACTCACACACATACTCTCACACACACACACACATACTCCACACACACGCGCTCACTCACACACACACACGCGCTCACTCACACGCGCTCACTCACACGCGCTCACTCACACGCGCTCACTCACACGCGCTCACTCACACGCGCTCACTCACACGCGCTCACTCACACACGCTAACACACACGCTAACACACACGCTAACACACACGCTAACACACACGCTAACACACACGCTAACACACACGCTAACACACACGCTAACACACACGCTAACACGCTAACTCACACGCTCACTCACACACACACACACATACTCTCACACACTCTCACTCACACACATACTCTCACTCACTCTCTCTCACTCACACACATACTCTCTCACACACACACACATACTCTCTCACACTCTCTCTCTCACACACATACTCTCTCACACTCTCTCTCTCACACACATACTCTCTCACACTCTCTCTCTCACACACATACTCTCTCACACTCTCTCTCTCACACACATACTCTCTCACACTCTCTCTCTCACACACATACTCTCTCACACTTACTCTCACTCACACATACTCACACACACACATACTTTCACTCACACACTCACACACACACACACATACTCTCACACGCTCACTCACACACACTCACACACACATACTCTCTCACACACTCACTCACACTCACACACACACACTCTCACTCACACACTCCCTCACACACACACATACTCTCACACGCTCACTCACACACACTCACACACACATACTCTCTCACACACTCACTCACACTCACACACACACACTCTCACTCACACACTCCCTCACACACACACATACTCTCACACGCTCACTCACACACACTCACACACACATACTCTCTCACACACTCACTCACACTCACACACACACACTCTCACTCACACACTCCCTCACACACACACATACTCTCACACGCTCACTCACACACACTCACACACACATACTCTCTCACACACTCACTCACACTCACACACACACACTCTCACTCACACACTCCCTCACACACACACATACTCTCACACGCTCACTCACACACACTCACACACACATACTCTCTCACACACTCACTCACACTCACACACACACACTCTCACTCACACACTCCCTCACACACACACATACTCTCACACGCTCACTCACACACACTCACACACACATACTCTCTCACACACTCACTCACACTCACACACACACACTCTCACTCACACACTCCCTCACACACACACATACTCTCACACGCTCACTCACACACACTCACACACACATACTCTCTCACACACTCACTCACACTCACACACACACACTCTCACTCACACACTCCCTCACACACACACATACTCTCACACGCTCACTCACACACACTCACACACACATACTCTCTCACACACTCACTCACACTCACACACACACACTCTCACTCACACACTCCCTCACACACACACATACTCTCACACGCTCACTCACACACACTCACACACACATACTCTCTCACACACTCACTCACACTCACACACACACACTCTCACTCACACACTCCCTCACACACACACATACTCTCACACGCTCACTCACACACACTCACACACACATACTCTCTCACACACTCACTCACACTCACACACACACACTCTCACTCACACACTCCCTCACACACACACATACTCTCACACGCTCACTCACACACACTCACACACACATACTCTCTCACACACTCACTCACACTCACACACACACACTCTCACTCAC